CGGACAGTGAGCACGTTGATTCCTAAATGGGCCGTGCGCCGCAAAATGGCGAATTGCGCACCGCTGTCTAGCAGACGAATCCCTTGATATTCAATAGGGAACCGGGAACTGTCCCACGCGATAGAAATGCACCAATGATGTGCGAGTATTTGGTTTTTCTTTATTCGCGATAGTTGCGTTGCTAGATGAAAAGCATTCTTCCACAAGGAACAGACAAAAGAATATGGCTTTCAAATGAGACCAAAATGGGCACGCTACTTGGCGTGTTTCGCGGCGTCGAATATGACCGTTTTTAAGGTGGTGTCGCGAGTGGAAATGGTCACGAAACTGACTTTGAGGCCGATTTACTCGAAAAATACGCATTACATGGCAATAGCATTTTCGGGACACCTTCTTCAGACCCTATATATTATTAAAAAAATGTTTGAAAAAAATGATTTTTTCAGAAAATTTTCGGCCTTTGAGACTCGTGTGTCCCCTTAATTATGGCAGCTTCAAGTTTCATGGCCACTTGGTGTTTGTGGCTTAATAAAATCTGCCTAAACTCAAAAAGCGGCGTGCAACCATCCCAAACTTTGCAGTGCATAGCCGAGGGGTGTAAGGCATGGCTTTCAAAGAGCTGTGGTGTGCCGTTAGAACTGGGGTCTCAAACTCATCTTGGGCAGTGGGCTGTTTATATTTAATCTATTTCCCGCAAGGGCCAAATCAGAGAAGAAGTTAAAAGGAAGATGGGGGAGAGATATTTTATGTACGGGTCATCCCCAAACAAGATTGGTTGCCAGGATGCAGTCTAACAACATGTGGACACCGATCTCCAAGTGAGTAAATCTGTATGGCGATTCTGAAATGCTGTTTTGTTTCACAGTTACTCTTCAACACATGGTAACCACATTGGGGGATTGGGGGCCTCAGGAAAACAATGGTTTAGACCAGGCATGCGTGTGTAGTTGACACACACACTTGTTATGAAAATTTTTTAACTATAGGACAAACATAGTCATGTGCAGGCTTCGAGTCGCAAGTGAGATGATGGTGGGCCACGTGTTTGAGACCCCTGACTTAGACAAACACAGGAGCAGTGCCCAGTTCGCTCAATATACAACATACTGTATCAGAATGGCACATTATACACCACCGCTGACTTGTCAACAAACTTTTACAGCAAAAGCTCTTATGAAATCACAACAAGGGTGCTATAGTTGTCTGCCACCGCTGGTCTCTTGTAATTGTTATCGCTCGAAATAAGAAAGAAAAAAATGGAATAAAAGAAAATATCTAAGATGGAATGGAGTTCAAATCTTAAAAACATTGATGTAACGCGTGTGCGATGAATATCTTGGCAAGTCACAAAAAAGTATAAGAGAAACAGCGTTTTCCTAGATGCCGGTCACAGTGTAAATGTGTTGCTTGGCTGCTGACGCAAACATCGTGGGTTCAATCTCGGCCACAGCGGTCACATTTCAATAAAAGTGAAACGTAATGATGCATGTACTGTACACAATGTCAGTGCACGTAAAGAACACCAGATGGTCGAAATTTTTGGAGCCTTCCACTACAGTGGCCCTCAATAACATATCGTAGTTTTGAGATGTGAAACCCCACATAATACTATTATTACTATAATAACATCTTCTAGGTCTTTATTTTTGAGTTGTCACTAATCCAGCATAGTTTAGTGTCACTTTTTGTATTATTTATTTTAATTTAAATGTATATAGCAAGGTATACATACACATATGAGGGGGCTCATGAAGTTTGTATTATTAGCATGAGGATTGAGAGATAAATAAATGACATTTCATTGTAAATTTGTTATTTATCTTTATAATATCCTCCCAAAGTTACACACTTCTGCCTATGATGCATGGGCTGGTGCAGACCGTTGTAACGGAACTCATCTTCAGCTTTTCATGCTTGAGAAAAAGGTTGACATGAGCAATGACATCTTTGTTTGTTCTGAAAATGTTCCCTCGTAAGTGCACTTTTCATTCGAAAAAACAGAAAGAAGTCACTTGCTCCGAGATTACGATGTGAACGTGGCGGGTGAGACAAAACTTTTGCAGCCTAAGGATGCTGCATGCTTCGTCGTTACCTGTGCTCAGCGAGCTGAACTTCCAGACGGATTTTGTCATTTTTGTTTTGTTGCCATAGTGGTATTGCATGGTAATGCGTGTTAGATTTTTTAGAACAGAAGGGCACCAAGTTGGGCTAGTTTGTTAATGTTCATTCTTGAAAGGTTCAACTGTGCTAATAAAACAAGGACACAAAAAAAGTAAGGGGTGTGCACCTGCTATCCTTTACTTTCGCTGTTCATTGGGAGCCTTGTTAGAAGAAGGAACCACCTTTGCCAGAGGGGTGTGTGGTAAAGAAGGTCATCAGCTATGCGCATAGGTCGGCGACTCACTCAGACTCGGATCAACCTTCGAGTCTGAGGCTGAGTAAGTCTGGGTCTGGAACATTTTGGTGAGTTTGAGTCCAAGTGAGTCTGGTAGCAGAAAATTTTCATGAGTGTGTGTCCGAGTGAGTTTGGCCCAGGAAAATTTTGGTTAGCCTGAGTTCGAGTGAGCCCAAAGTGCTAGACATATTTCTTGGGTGAGTCTGATGAGTTATACTTTCTTTTGCCGACTTATGGTCCTACTTATATGATATTCAGCATTGCTATCAGCCTTACCTGGACTCACGACTACTTTCACATATTACAAACCACTGTCCTTCATACACCATTTCAATGTTTCCTGATAAGAGGGAAGAATAAGTAGGGGGGGGGGGGGGGTGTCTTGATCTCCCCCTCGCCAACTCTTCAGGGGAAGTTCTTGATAAGTATGTCTTGCGTTTCATTTCTTCCCAAAAATATGACCTTACTCATAACTCGTATTCCAAAGTACAAATATCATTCGGGGCCAAGAAAAGCACTGATTATATAAAATACTGGCATTAAAGAGCATTGCCAACAGGTTCGAAAAAGTTAATTAAAGCTAACGGACACGTGAGTGGACTCGCTCACACTCGAATCAAGCCGTGAGTCTGAGTTTGAGTGAGTCCGGCTGAGTAATGTTTTGGCGAGTTTGAGTCTGAGTGAGTTCAGCTGACGAAAATTTTCGCAAGTGTGACTCGGAGCGAGTCCAAAGCACAAAATATATTTAATAAGTCAGTCTGAGTGAGCTCCACAAGTGTTGTCGACCTCTGCCTATGCGTGCGCTCAATGACATTTTTTATTGACACTGCCCATCTTTTGTTGTGAAACATCATTGCATTTAATCACTGAATATTACTCACTCACTCTACAAGAAATTAGGATACAATGTAAAACAAACCTTTTTGTCCTGAATAATTTGCTTTACTGTCAGACTAGGTCTAGGCTGCAGAAGATAACAAGAGACTAAGTTGCAATGAGTGCCTGTCATCCTTGCTACTTTTTTTCCCTGCACTGCAATACTTCAGGCCAAGCATTGTCAGTTTCGGTATGTTGTGCTGGAGAGACACTATGCATTGGTTTGTATTAATAAACAGACCTTGTGCAGTAATAACAAGGCCACTCTTACCATGAGAAGTGGCTGTAAAACCAGAGAAGGCTTCTCGGCCACCCTGTGCCGGCAACGTTACCTAGCTAAGTGTCATTTAGTCTTTCTTCGTGCTTCGTCTCTGCGCTGTTTTAATATGAACGCAAGCTAACAAGCCCAACTCTTCCTTCTCCTGAAATTACCGCAGCGACTCATTGTCACATCATGACCTTGAAAACATCTGTTCATGCCTAGTAGGCTTTTATTTCTCATTAACACAGACCACATCACATCTTAAGAGCGCAAAGGATGCTTCAAGAACTCTTACTATGCCTTAACAGTCAAAATAAGAAAGTATACATTGAAATCCATTATCTTGCTCTAAAGTAGAGTTGCTGGTGTCTGTGATTTTCGTTTCTCTTGATAGCCGACCTATTACAGAAAGTCCAAGCTCACTTGGTTTTGTTTTTTGCTTTTTTTTCCTCAAGAGATTTGAAAGTGCAGCATTAAACCTGTTGCGACTTATAAATTGTTCCTTGATTTCAGTTTCACCGTCATAGGTTTGTTATTAGATGATGAAACCAAAGTCAAAGTTCCATTTTTTGAATTTTACACAGAAAACAAAAAAAATAGTATTTCAGTGTGATATCAGTGATCCCAAAATGCTTCTCATACGCCCATATTGGCTCTGAAAGAGTCCCCAAAACTTGGATGTGGCATTTTCTGAATGCACAGTAATTCATTGTTACATGCAATAATGACATAGGTTAATATGACCTATGTCATGGCATAGGCCAATCAATATCAATGATCTCTCTACTTGTCACCTAATTTATGTTTTCTAGCTTGTCAAGCATCTTTTGCAGCTGGAGTGGTGTTTTTAGTTTTGTGGAAGGTTAATTTGCTAAGTTAAACTTTTTTTATAAAAGTCATTTTAAAGTGTTTCTTATTGTTGCTGGTTTTGTTGTCCTTTTGTACAGTGCTCAGCAATTAAAAATATCATAGGTGTGCTTGTATGGTGGCTGGTGATATTGTGTGCCATGAGTGAGCACTGGTTCATTGTGTGGCCTCCAAATGCTGTAATGGTAATGTATAATGGAGGCTCTCTTTATTTCAAAGGTAAACATTCAGTCGCAGTCTGCCTGGTTAGGATAGAAAACTGGAGGAAAGAGAAAACTCCAACCAAAATTTATTTTGGGAAACCCGACGTTCCGAGCCTGACTGGCTTCTTCAAGGGTAAGAAGGTCGAAGATGTGCGGTGCTTATATACAATTGCTTGCTGTGCGAGCAAAGCTTGCCATGGCTCATCGGAAGCCCTGTCAGTAGAGGGAGGGCAGTGTCTCTGTGAAGCGATTTATGCTTCCTAGCTTGGTGTGTCCAATGCTCACCAGTGGTAGTGTGCTGGTTTCTGCCCAGGCCAGTCAGTCTTTCAGTTGCTGAACACTGTACGCAGGCAGATGAATAAATTGGAGCAAATGTGTTTACTGGAATTCGTTTCAGATGCCACTCGCTGTATGAACCGGCCAGTGAACCTTGCACTGCGACCTGTGCTCGCATGCCTGCCAGCCTGGTTTCGGTTCGCTCAGTGCCTCCGTCGGTACCGAGACACGCGAGAGGCTTTTCCACATTTGGCCAATGCCGCCAAGTACGCCACCACATTCTTCGTTGTGCTGTTCTCAACACTCTTCAACGTCTACAGGGGTCAGTTCCAGCAGAATTCCTACTGCCGAGTTTCCTTCATTTCTTCAACTTGCAGATCTTTGGTTTGCCTTGTTTGTCAGTGCAACTATGCGGAGGCTTTGGAGCAAGAAAATAGCAAAACAACATTGCGAGTTGGGCCTGCTGGTTACTTTGTGTGTCTGATAATGTCTCTCTGTTGTTCGTGTTTCAGTCACGCAACTTGAAGCATTTTAGAAGGTCCAACCTTGTGTTGGTGTCCGAATGACACGAAACTTGTTTGCATTAGCCAAGTAGCATCAGTAGCATCTGATACGAGAACAAAGGCAGTGACTTTCTCAATAAAATCAGGCTTACCAAAGTGAATTATAACACAAGTGTAAACACACTCAAACCTTGATATAATGAACCTGGATATAACAAAATATTGGTTATTACGAAGTGGATGAAAATTAGCCTTGTCATATAGTGTTAGGAATAAACCTTTATAAAGAATTTTCGGATATAGCAAACCAACTTTTGTTTTAAGTGCAACTTTGTTATAATGAGGTTTGAGTTACAGGATGCTAATGAGGCCACAGTATGAGCCAGAACCGTATTTGTGGTCCTCAATATGTGTTGAAAGAGTGGAAACATGATTTTGAAAGATATATATCAAAATGTTTATTTGAAAAAGAAATAAGAAAAAAAAGACACGGGGAGCTTGTGGGGGGGGCCCCTATTCCAGGGCTCCACTGGCTTTAGCGACCCGCTGCGCCTGGTCGAGGAGTGCTAGTTGCATCCCCAGATCCTTGCTGGCGAGCAAAGTCTCCCACTGCTCGCTTCCAGAAATTTTGCCGGCTATTTGCAGCAAGTTAATTTAAGTTGGCCTGTTTTGACAATCGCACGTTATGTGGGCAAGAGTGGGCTTGCCTGCGCAGCATGGACAACCATCTTTGTACATCGCAGGGTGAATGGCATGCTTCAGCGAAAGATTCAGATATGTGTTTGTTTGTATACAAACACATATCCAAATCTTTCGTTGAAGCATGCCATTCACCCTGCAATCTACAGCGATAGTTGTTCGTGGTGGTGAAAGAGAATCTTCCATTTGTAGAGCTTCACGAGGGGTTATGTGAATGGCTGGGTGAGATCACATATGACATATTGTCGGCGCAAGACCAAAGGACGTGTAGTTGTCAATGCTCACAACGGGGGTTACATTCGGTGCTTACTAAATTTAGGAGAGATATGCCAGTTGTTTAGGGTCTCAAATGTTGTACGACAGTACTGTGTGACATTGACTACTGTGCCAATCCTCTATTTGCCAATGAAGAAGTGGTGTACGTTCTCGGCAGTTCCTTTTCAATAAGTGGCCAACTTTGTCCTCCTTTGACATGTAAGGGTTGATGGTCTTGCTGATGTTCAATATAGGGTCAGTTAACCATATTTACTCTCATAATTTGCGCACTTTTTTTTTAATTTTGGAGCTTCAGAAAGGGTATGCGTAAATTACTCGGAAGTTTCGCTAACACATCCGAAATTATGTGCAATAGTAAATAGCTTTAAGGAGCACAGTATACACATTATTAAAAAAATTAATTGGAGCACAAAGAATAATCCCGTACTTTATGCAGCCAGGCGCAGTCACGCGCAGTCTATTCGGAATCACTGGTCGAGAGGTCTGATTGGTACTCATCGTCGTGGCTGCTGTCACCGCCCTCCCAAAGTTCGTTGTCCTTGATTTCATCGAGCACATTCTAATGCCCCCTTCCCCTCCTCTCTCTCTCTATTTTTTTTTTTTTTTCGAGTTTTTGACAATTCCGGGAGAAACCAGGTCCAACAACGTGGCTATGCTAGAGGACTCAAGTTTTTACGCGTTATTGAATATGTTGTCTTCAACGGCAGGAAATTTCATTTCGGGGCCAAGCAAGTGCGCATTCTGCTGCTTTCCCCTGTACCAATTATCACATGTTGAAGAACTTCGTTTTGAAGTACTTGGCGACAACAAGGTTCTCACTTTGTTCGGCCAACTTTATTTTAGCAAGCTTGAATTTCATAGCCCATCATAAGAAAACGCTAAAAACGTAACGGTCTGATGATGAAACCTAAACTTCTGAAATCAAATCGGATCACAAACACATCGAATGAGAGGGACAGTTGGTGCGACAGGCCTTCGCACATCTCCAACGCAGAAAATTATTCATGCCATGACGCGAGTGTGCACTCTCAGGGTGGAAAATATTGAGAGATAAAGGGATGCAAATGGTGGAAGAGATAGAGAGATGGAGGGAGGCGAACGCATGAGCAGTCAACAGGTTTAGGTAGAGTACAGTATTCTAGGGACTGTAGTTTAGTTCAAGTCCTCGGGAGAAGGGACTTCGCATTAGCCAGTTTTATGTATGACTACGCTCGCCAGCTCGGCAAGGCGCGTCCATCTAAAGCTCCCAGGTCTTTTCTTGGGTGCGCCGGCAAGCTTGCTCAGGTGTGTTGGGGAGTGCAAAATATGTGAGTAAATATTTTTATTTAAGTAAAGCTGGCGAAGTAGTAGGGGTGCGCAAAATATGATCGTAAATACTGCACATCGTGTCTCGCCTGGGACCTTGGCTCTTTGCAGCAGTGTTTGTTCCGCTTGCTTCCTCTTTGCCATAAAGCCCCCAAAACATTTTTTATTTTCTAAACAGGGCAATCTATGTCATGAAGGCGTTCTCGTTGTTTTCAAACTGTATAAGCACCGGGTCCGTCAAAAAAAACACACTGTTCAATATCTGAAGTGCCAGATCGTGATGGTAGCAGTTGCTCGCCCGTTCGTAGTGTGTGAGCCACTTGTCCACGTCGTCACCAAATTTACCCAAAAATGATACGGCATGCCTGTTGGCAGTGTCAAGTGCTGACACTGTCAACAACCAGCCACATCCAATGCAGGTAGTAAAAATGTCACTTTAACTGATGCAAAATTGGCACCTATGCACTTCTGGATTGTGTCTTCACTGCGCGACATATCGACCCTCAGTTACTAGGTAATGAGGGCAGTCTGGCTACGCAGACATCGGTATAGATCAGGTGGTGGGAGAACTGTGTTGCCTGGTTGAGTACTGGGCACCTCTACCACAAAGCTGGTTCAGTTGAATTGAGCTTAACTGGGTTAATTTACAGTGGAGTTTAGGCAATGATAAAGCCCACAAAAAGAACCAGCTGACCTCTCCTTTTTTCTTTCTTTTGCCGCTGTCACACAGGCCTGGGGCAGATAAGGTTAAAGCAAAGCAGGAGGGTAATGCATGCATATCTCTCAAGGAATACTGAAAACTTGGATAATTACCATGAACACGGCAGTGTGCCCTGAATGGTGGTAGTATGCAGTAATCATGAATTACAAATTTGGATCTCCTAACATTGCTGCCAAAAAGAAGTAAATGTGACATATTAGTGAATGGTGCTTTATGGGCTCATTAAAAGGCACTTTATTCATTTTATGAAACTGCAGATGACATTGTCACTCTGTGACACAACTGTGCACTTGTGTTCCATGGCGATGCACGTAACATTTCAAAACCGTGACACAGAACACCAGTTGTGGTCTAACTGCATCAATTACGCCGTTTTGTTACAGTTTCATATCGTTGTGCTTTGCTGTACAGAGTTGAGTACAGCATGTGCCAACTGTGCCAAAGTTCACTTCATTAGTCTACCTTTTTACATGGCACTATGCCCGCCATGGTGGTCTTTTAGCTAAGGTACTCGGCTGCTGACCCATAGGTCGGAATGAAATGCCGGCTGCGGCAGCTGCATTTTCGATGGAGGGAAAAATTCTGTAGGCCCGTGTGCTCAGATTTGGGTGCACGTTAAAGAACCCCAGATGGTCAAAATTACTGGAGCCTTCCACTATGGCGTCTCTCATAATTCTATGGCGGTTTTGGGACGTTAAGCCCCACGTATCAATCAATCAGTTACATGGCATTATACCATTTTACGGCTTCAAACTATTCTTGGTCGTAACAAACACAACTACCGCTTTTCCATAATGCCGCTAATGCCATCTACTTACTACATTTCAGTGATGCACTATTTATCATTGTATTCAGTCAATGCAAAGTTTCTGTACCGCTGTGTGTGTATCTGCTTGTTGATAATCCCTTTTATTGTTGGGCCATTGGCAATAACATGTAACAAAGTGTTGTTGTTTTTTTTTTGCGAGTCACTTCGCATATACCGTAAATTAGCCACCACCCAGGTATAACTATTGCCACTGCATGCTGTAAACGGCGTCTTCACGCAGATGGAGATACGGTCACGTAAATGTTTGTTTGATATTTTTCAAAGAAAGTACATGCCTCTTAGGTAATCTCGCTGTGCAACATTCTTCGGTATTCTTATCGTAAAGCTAAGCCTAATGTTGATGTAGAGCGAGTATGGCACAATGTGGTGCAACTGCTGTTCGCACATATCCAACTGGTCATCTCTCTTCTTTATTGCAAAACCGATGTAACATGGTGGTAAGCTAGCGTTCATAGAAAATAAGCCGCGCAGTCAGCCACTAGAGAGGAGCAAGTTCTCTCACATGTACTAAACGCCCTTAGAACAATCGCTGTTGCCGTCAGCAGACACATAATGTCAAAGAAGTCTTCCCACCTTGCAAATCATCCGAGCTGATTTCCTCCCACTTGTTCAAAGCTACAGTTGCGAGCTTATTCAGCACGACCACCGTTTGTTTGCAAATCACAAATTAACGAACACTGTCGCGGGGATTTTTCTATGTACACGGATTACCTAACTGTGTCGTGCAGTGGCATTGTTAAGCTCAATTTGCAATCCAAAAAGAAAAATAATCAAACAGACTAGATGCATTTGCAATAGTCCTCAGCACTTGCTGAAGCCTAAAGCATTCTTCCTGGACCCAGTGGCTATTATTAGAGATGAAAGGCAAGGTGCTTGTTTGTCTCCCTTATTGGGGACATGCCCACTCTTAGGACCCTTGTCAACGGTGGATCTAAGGGGTGGTAATATTGGCGGAGAAGAGGTGTTTGGCCATTGACCCCTCCTGCCAA